GCCAATTTGGAAAACTGTATGTCAGTTTCTTATAAAATTAAAGTTACACCTATCCTAAGCCCCAGTAACTCCACTCCTCGAAATGCCATAAAAAGTCCTTTATTAGAATGTTCTTAAGCAGATTTAATTGAAAAAAAAAACAACAACCCATGTGCCCATCAATAGGTGAATGGATAAATAAATTGTGATTTATCCATGCATTGGAAAACTTCAGCAATAAATAGAACTGCTGATACACAGGATAACATGAATGACTCTCAAAAGAATTATGTTGAGGGGCACCTGGGTGGCTCAGTTGGCTAAGCATCTGACTTAGGCTCAAGTCATGATCTCATGGTTCATGAGTTCCAGCTCCACGTTGGGCTCTGTCTCTGCCCACAGCTCAGAGCCTGGAGCTGCTTCAGATTCTGTGTCTCCCTCTTTCTCTGCTCCACTTCCCCACCCCTTGTGCCTCTGTCTGTCTGTCTCTCTCTCTCAAAAATAAACATTAAAAAAAATTATGTTGAGTGAAAGAAGCCAGACATCATCAATTTATACTTATGATTCCATTTATATTTAGGTTAAGAAAACCAAAACCAAAGAGATGGAAATTAGAATAGTCGTTGCTTTGGGGAAATAAAGATTGACTGGAAAGGGACAAGAGAGAACTTTTTGGGGGCAGAAATGTTTTATAGCTTAATTGGCTGATGGTTATATGAGTGAATGTATTTGTCAAAACGGATCAAACTGTGCATTTAAGACCTATGCATATTATTTTTATAATCTATACTTGAATTTAAAAAGCAGAATTTTTTTAAAAATTCACTAAATTATCAGCAGTGGTTACTCTAAGAGTAGGATTCTTTGATTTTCCATATTATGCATTTCTGAGGCGTTTGAACTTCTTCAACATGCATGTGTTAATTATTTAAAAGAGACGCATTTAGAATCCAAAAATATAATTACATAAAGGTAGGATTTGTCTAAAGGGTGCTCAAGCACCTAGTTGTTTCAGGGGAAAGTTAAGTTAGATCTTCTTCTGTAATATACCCTCCCCACCAATTTCAGGTAAGTCAAAGAGGTAATGTATAACATCAAACCATAGTTTTAAATCAAGCCATAAATAACAGAAAATAGAAGTTAGCATTTGTTTCTGAATGGCAAATAAACTAATATTGAAAGCAATGTTAGGACCTCTAAAGGAATTTTGCTACATAAAAATATTAAGACACATGATAAAATTATATGCAAACAAAATTAAATACAACAGGAAGTTGGGGGAATTTATAAAAATATAGTGTTTGACAGATTTATTGGCAAAGCATGTGAATTCTAGAAAGGAAGGAAGACTAGAAGGGATGAAAGAGGGAGGAAAAGAGAAAAAAGGAAGGAAAGAAAGAAAAAGAGGGAAGGGATAAAAGAGAGGAGAGGATAAGGGAAGGTGGGGGAGGGGAAGGGAAGGTGGTGGGGGAGGGGAAGGGAAGGTGGTGGGGGAGGGGAGGGACAGAAGTTAGGAAGGGAGCGAAGGGAAGGATGAACACAATGGCTAATCAACAAGTGAATGAAAACTTGAAATGTTACCTATCAAACTAGCAAACATTATTGTTACAGTCTAGTATTTGATGGCCGACAGAGGAGACAGGCAGGAAAAACAAATTCTTGGTCACTACTTGTAGGAGTGTAAATTGCTACATTTCTGAAACCAATCTAGCGATGTGTATTCCTAATCTTTAATACGCTTATATTCTTCGAACCAGAAATAGCACATTTTGGAACCTTTCTAAAGGAAATAATCATAAGAGTCGCTCTTTTCAGGATTATTCATAATTGCCAAAATAATTTTAAACAATCGCCCAAAAGCCAGCAGTATGGGACTAATTCATTAAATCATAGGATATCTGTTTGATGGATTATTATTCTACCATTAAATAAAGCTTACAATGAGTTTCCAACAACTCTTTTTTTTTTTTTAATGCCCATGATAAATGAAGACTAGCAAGGCTGACTCCAGTTTGCCTCTGAAACAAATTTCCTGTTGGTGCAAAAACACTGTCTCCATACACACCAGATTCCCCCCCACCCTTATATTTTAAATATATTAAACGTTAAATGGTACCTCTGCCCCATCTGTACTATTCAGGGTTTGTTCAGGAAAACACAAGCCACTCCACGTCTTCTGGGTCTACAGGTTTAATACAGCAGTAGGGGTTTACACGGTTGTTGGACGAGCAGGGAGGGAGCAGAGCTGGGGCAGCTGCTGCGAAGGCACAGGTGGGCGCTGGAGGTCTCAGCCTGAAGCGGGGGTCCCCTGAGAGTGGGCCGGAAGGCCTCGGCGACTCGCACCTGCTCAGCATCTGGCTGTCACCAGCTCTGGCGAAGAACGGATTCCCTTTCCCTTCTACCTTCCCAATTTCCCCTGAATTCCTTTCATGCAAACGCCAGCCTCCAGGTGGGGGCATTCTGGGAAATGTAGTTCCTGGCTGCTCTGCATTGCGGAAAAGGGGTGGGAGGGGTGCTGCGCTGAACAGCGTCCCTGGCACCAGGGACCAAGTCTGAGAAGTGTCCTCATACTCACCTGTGCGAGTCTGGCAAGTAGTCAGGAGGCCACAGGTGTTAGGGTTGGACAGAAAAAGAATTTGGATTAGAGGTAACAGAAGTTGTATTACATATTTTCTTGTTAAAATAGCTCATCTTTTCACATCTGAGGCATTTCCAGCTTATTGTATTACAAATTTGCAAAGCAAAACAAAGCACCAAGCCGTATGAGTTAAGCCAATTTATAGATCCTTTTTAGAAAAATTAGAAAGTGACATTAATAAACCTACTCAAAAGACTGTTCAAAACCCTCACACACTGGTAGGAATGTAAAATGATGAAGTCTCTGGGCAGTTACTCATAAAGCTAAGCATATTACTCAAAAAAAATTTTAGGGGTCCCTGGGTGGCTCAGTCGGTTAAGCAGCCAACTTTGGCTCAGGTCATGATCTTGTAGTTTGTGAGTTCAAGCCCCACATAAGGCTCTGTGCTGACAGCTCAGAGACTGGAGCCTGTGTCAGATTCTGTGTATGTCTCTCTCTCTCTCTCTCTCTGCCCCTCCCCTGCTCCTGCTCTGTCCCTCTCTTTCTCTCAAAAATGAATAAATGTTAAAAAAATTTTTTTAAATTTTTTTAATCTTTTATTTTTTTAATTAATTTTTTTAAATGTTTTATTTATTTCTGAGAGAGAGAGACACACACAGCATAAGCAGGAGAGGGTCAGAGAGAGAGGGAGATACAGAATCTGAAACAGGCTCCAGGCTCTGAGCTAGCCGTCAGCACAGAGCCCGACACGGGGCTTGAACCCACAAACTGTGAGATCCTGACCTGAGCCGAAGTCGGACGCTTAACCGACTGAGCCACCCAGGTGCCCCTAATCTTTAAAAATAATAAATAAAGGGGCAACGGGCTTGCTCAATGGGTAGAGCACGTGACTCTTGATCTCAGGGTTGTAGGTTCAAGCCCCACATTGAGTGCAGAGAGTACTTAACAATAAAAAAATCATTTTTCCAAAGAAGTTAGGCATAGTATGACCATATAACCCAGCAATTCCACTCCTAGGAATACAGTCAAGAAAAATGTAAATGTATGCTCACACAAAAACTTACACACTAATGTGAGCAGCATTATTCTCACAAGCCAAAAATGGAAACAATCCAAATGTCCACCAACTAGCGAATACACAAGCCAAATATCCACCAACTTACTAATGTAATGAGTATAATAATGCATAAACAAATGTGGTATATCCATACAATGGAACATTATTTGGCCCTGAAAAGAAATGAAATATTGATACATCTGACGACATGGATGGACTTGGAAGATATTATGCTACGTGACAGACACCAAGGCCATAGGCTTTATTATATCGTTTATATAAAATGTCCAGAACAGGGAAATGTATAGAGATAGAAAGTAGATTCAGTGCTGAGGAGAAATGGGGACTAGAGAGTGATTGCTGGCAGTCATTGCTAGTAATTGCTAATACCAGGCTAATTCCACTTTGGGGAGTGATAAGAATGTTCTAAAGCTAGAGGTGGCACGAGCTGTATGACTCCGTGACCACACTAAAAGCCATTGAGTTTTAAAAATGTGTGGCAAAACATACATAACATAAAATGCATCATTTCAATTGTTCAGCAACCCTCACCACCATCGGTTTCCACAACTCTTCTCATTTTGCAAAACTGAAACTCCACATTCCATTAAACAGTAACTCTCCGTTCTCTCCTCTCCCAGTCCTGAGCTTGACTTCTCTAGGCTCAGTGTAAATGGACTCCTACTCTGTCTTCTTGTGACGGGTTTATTTCACTGACCATAATGCCCTCAAGTTTCATCCATCCTAGAGCATGCGTCAGAATATGCTTCCTTTTCAAGGCAAGATAATATTATGTATATCCATTCATCTGTTGACAAGCACTTAAGTTTCTTCCATGTTTTGGCTAATGTGACTATTGCTACAATGAACATGGTTAAACCTCCCCCCCACCCCCGAGACTCTGCTTTCAATACTTAGGAGTATATACCTAAGACTGGAATTTCTGGGTCATAGGGACGTTCTTTTTTTAATCTTTTGAGGAATTGCCATACTGTTTTCCACAGTGGCTGCACCATTTCACATTCCCACCAGCAACACACAAGTGTTCTAGTTTTTCCACAAACTCCCCTACCTTTGTTATTTTCTGTTTAAAATGTTTTCTTATGAAGCCGTCTTCTTTTTTAAAATTTGTTTAAGGTTTATTCACTTTTCAGAGACAGAGATAGAGCATGAGTGGGGAAGGGGCAGAGAGAGAGAGGGAGACACAGAATCCGAAGCAGGCTCCAGGCTCTAAGCTGTCAGCACAGAGCCCGACGCGGGGCTCGAACTCACAAACTGCAAGATCATGATCTGAGCCAAAGTTGGATGCTTAACCAACTGAGCCACCCAGGTGCCCCTCTTATGATAGCCATCTTAATGTATGTGAAATGATATCTCATTGTGGATTTTTTTTTTCTACAGTTCACAAATGTGCATGTCATCTTTGTGCAAGGGCCATACTAATCTTCTCTGTATTGTTCCAGTTTTAGTATGTGTGCTGCGAAAGTGAGCACCTATTGTGATTTCAATTTGTATTTTGAATTATTCACTTTTTAAGGGGTAATTTTACGGTATGTGAATTATATCTCAATTTAAAAAAAAACATTCATTGAGAGGCCTCGTGCACTGAGCATACGTAACGTCCAGATCTCGGCTTCTAACTATGTTTCTTCACTAAAAGAAACTCGATCTGTGGTGGAGAAAAGACAAGGTGAGCCTGGGGTATTGAGCAAGGAAGTGCTTAAACAGGGATGGGGCCTGTCTAAAGCACACTGGCCAAATTTGGGACGACTTGAGCATCAAAATGAGTAATGACTATACTTGAATTTAAAATATGGCATAAACAACAATCCATGAATTCATGGTAATAAAAAGGAAAGAGAGATTCTTTATAGAAGAGTCCCAGCTAAAAGATGTAAAAGGAATTAGAGAATTTAGAAATCACCATTTTGCAACTCCTAACGAAATAATTGGTTCAAGCAAGGGTTTGGTAATAGGTGCTACAACCATTAAGTGAGCAATTATTAGGAAATGGAACATTCACATGGTATCACCTCCCAGATTATTTTTAATGGCAAATCGAAACATACACCTTTGCAGTGGAGAAATCTGGCAATTACTATTTTAAACGCGTGATCAATTTAAACATCGTGAATGGTAGAAAAACTAACATATGTGTTTCCGAATATGATGCAGTAGTAAGTATACAACATCAACTATTATTCTTACTAAAATGTGTGGCCTGAACGTAATCAGGCTTCTCTAGACCTGATCTTCGTTTTCCAGGAATTCAGGGAATAGTGGGACTATTCCCTAAGACAGTTGACCTAAAATCTTCAAAAAGCCAAGGCCATAAAAAAGTGGGCTGGGGGGGGGGGAAGCAACAGCAGCAAGGCAACTGCTGTAGATGAAAAGTCACTAAAGAGGCGCACCTGGGGGGCTCAGCTGGGTGAGCAACCTACTCTTGGTTTTGGCTCAGGTCATGATCTCATGGCTCGTGGTTCAAGCCCCGCATTGGGATCCATGCTGTCAGTGCAGAGCCTGCTGGGGATTCCCTCTCTTTCTTTGTGTTCCTCTTTGACTCACGCTGCCCTTTTTGCTCTCAAAATAAATAAATACACTTTACAAAAATCCAAAACAAACAAAAAACCAAGGGGCGCCTGGGTGGCTCAGTCAGTTGAGCATCTGATTTCAGCTCAGGGATCCTCTGTCCCCCTCTCTCTGTCCCTCTCCCGCTCGTTCTCTCTCAAAAATAAATTTAAAAAAGACACTTACGGGGTGCCTGGGTGGCTTAGTCGGTTGGGCGTCCGACTTTCACTTAGGTCATGATCTCGCAGTTCGTGGGTTCGAGGCCTGCGTCGGGCTCTGTGCTGACTGCCAGCTCAGAGCCTGGAGCCTATTTCGGAGTCTGTGTCTCCCTCTCTCTCTGACCCTCCCCTGCTCACACTGTCTCTCTCTCTCTCCTAGAAATAAATAAAAAATATTTTAAAAAATTTAAAAAATAAAAAAAATAAAAAAGACACTTAAGAGATCGATTCTACAATAGCAACAAGAACAAAACATCACACCTGTTCAGTAAGTGCCTACTGCTGGCTGCGTGTAGATTTTGTAAATCGGTGCTAAAATTAGGCAGGCACATTATCATACTTTAGTGATAATCTAAAATATTTATTATTAAAACTTGTTAACGAAGGGAAATTTTTATTGCAAATCGCTTTCGAATTTCCTCCCCCATGGGAAAAGAAATCATAATCACAGAAATGGCTGTCCTTGAAAGCACAGAACAGCAAGTGCTTCAAGATACTTGTATGATTTATCACTAAATCACAGATTTAGCATGGAAGAAAATAGAAATGCATGGAAAAACTTCTCATTTCACTGGGCATGCAAACCCTTTCCACCTGTTAATGTCATTGACTGCAGAATGGGCCACTGCATAACATAATATTTCCAGACAAATGAAGCTTTTAAAATAGCACTGCCCAGGGGCGCCTGGGTGGCTCAGTTGGTTAAGCTTCCAACTTTAGCTCAGGTCATGATCTCACGGTTTGTGACTTTGAGCCCCGCATGGGGCTCTGTACTGACAGCTCAGAGCCTGGAGCCTGCTTCAGATTCTGTGTCTCCCTCTCTCTCTGCCCCCATCTCTCTCTGTCTCAAAAATAAATAAACATTAAAAAAGTTAAATAGTACTGTCTAATAGAAATATAATGTGAGCTACAAGTGTGAACCCAGGTATAATTTTACTTTTTTTCATAGCCATGTTTAAAAAACAAAAGGTAAAAGGAAGTAGGCAAAATTCACTTTAACAATATATTTTACTTAACTCAATACATTCAAAACATTATCATTTCAATAACTAATCAATATAAATTGTATACATTTATTTATTGTATACATTTGTAGCACATTTCAATTTGGACTGACCACATTTCATACACTTATAAGTTGGTTTGTAAGTTGGACAGTACAGGTGTAGAGTAGAAATATTGAAATACTGAGTTTTAAGTGCTACGGATGAACAGTATCAAATACAAAACTTTTTCCTAATTACATACGTTTGATTCACTTTGGCACTAGAATATTTTTCAGGGATTGAAGAACATAAGCTGAAAAATTCTGTTTACCAACCACATGACCAATATTTTTGCATTTAGGGTAAAAGAGTGGAGATGAAAATTGGACAGTATCAAATACAAAACTTTTTCCTAATTACATACGTTTGATTCGCTTTGGCACTAGAATATTTTTCAGGGATTGAAGAACATAAGCTGAAAAATTCTGTTTACCAACCACATGACCAATATTTTTGCATTTAGGGTAAAAGAGTGGAGATGAAAATTGGACAGTATCAAATACAAAACTTTTTCCTAATTACATACGTTTGATTCGCTTTGGCACTAGAATATTTTTCAGGGATTGAAGAACATAAGCTGAAAAATTCTGTTTACCAACCACATGACCAATATTTTTGCATTTAGGGTAAAAGAGTGGAGATGAAAACTGGGTGGGGGGAAAGAACCTCCAAATTTATACTTACACATTCAAAACCATTAAACACTAAATTAGCTTATAATGCAGTTCACCGTGAGTATCTGAATGCAAGGGACATAAATGTTCCAAATTCTCCCGTCAAACCAGTCTTAGTTTGTTTGTTTTTTTTCCTCTTAGGTTCCCACCACCCAGACCTTAATGCACCAGCACCTGGGCTGATGCAGTTTCTCTCCGTTTGCTCTGCTCCGGAAGTTGTTGTAACCCTGCCTCACAGACACCCCCAGATCCGGCCTCCTCTTCAACGTCCCTACCTCACGGGCGGCTGCTCCTGGAGGTACAGCAGCCCCCGCCTCGTTGTGTCCCAGCCATCTTGGATGGAAGGTTTCTGTTATCTGACTTGACCCCATCTTTCCACCTCGAATGCCACCCACCTTCCCTCGGTGACCCAGGCTCATCCCTGATGTTGCACTTTCTACCTTGTCGTTTCCCGCAGGTGGGACATGTTTCCCCCTCCATCTGGCAAGTTAAGTCCCAGCTGCCTCTCCTGCCTGATATAAATTTCAAGTCTTTCAAGGAAGCTTTGCTGTCCTGACTGCCAGCAAGCTACCCTCACCCCTTGTGACCCCATGGAGTTGCTTGTTGTCCACTGCCATGACATGAGCAGTGTCATGAGCGTCCCCAAGGGTACCTTACCTCGCTTGTGAGCCCACAGGGCCAGATCACCGAGACTGCAGACCGCTGCCTTGTACTTGCCTCAGCCACCTGCGTGCGGCTGCAGCACTCAGGTGTAGAACCGGAAGCCTTCTCCGCAGTCTACAGAGGCCTATGGAGTCCAAAGACGTGCATAAATTCTTACACTTAAAAAAAGTGTGTAGGAGACTCATGGCTCCTTTTGCTTTTTATTTTTGATATAGAGAGTGACAGAGCATGTGCAGGGGAGGGGCGGAGAGAAAGGGAGACAACAGAGTCCGAAGCAGGCCCCAGGCTCTGAGCTGTCAGCACAGAGCCCGATATGGGGCTCGAACTCACAAACTGTGAGCCAAAGTTGGACGTTTAACCAACTGAGCCCCCCAGGCGCCCCTTCTGGCTACTTTTGGACAGAGCAAAGATCAGGGTCGAATTGAAGCTGGTCTATGTCCACCCCTTAGAGCAAAGACCGTCCATGAGTCTCAGTGGGAGACTCCCCATAAATGCGAGATTTGCCAAAAATCTCTGCTTAGCTTTTTAGTCCCTTAGCAACTTCCTGTTAATTTTCTGAGTCTCATGAGCTCAACTTCGGTGTCAAACAAATGTCTGGAGAGGGGATTATAAATAGAATTTCAGGCTCACTTCTTTGTATTTCCCTTTATTTCTGGAGTCTTCCCTCCTCAAATCCTGGCTACTCAGGATAGCCCTGGACTCCAGTTTTTCCCTCCAGAGCCCGCTAAACGTGCTGCAGGTTCTAGGCTGCTGCTCTGCAGTCTCTGTTGCCGGAACTGGGAACTGGCAACGCAGCTCGAAGAGGAACGCTACTGAGAATGTAGATCACGATCACTGTGCTTCTCTTGACTCTAAGATATTCTTCAAGCACAGGCGGCCTTGCTCACTCTCCAATGCAGCCAAAAAGCAGCTTTTTAAAAATTAATTAATTTATAACGTTTATTTATTTATTTTGAGAGAGGGAGAGAGAGAACATGCGTGCACAGGCACACACTGGAGAAGGGCAGAGAGAATCCCAAGCAGGCTCCATGCTGTGGGGCGGTGGGGGAGGGGAGAGCTCCGTCTCATGAAACGTGGGATCATGACCTGAGCCAAAATCAGGAGTCAGACGCTTAACCGACTGAGCCACCCGGGCGCCCCAAAAAGCAGCTTTTTAAAAAATATTGTTATCAGGGGTGCCTGGGTGGCTCAGTCAGTTAAGCGTCTGACTTCAGCTCAGGTCATGATCTCATGGTTAGTGGTTTCTAGGCTCATGCCTGGTTTTATGCCGACAGCCAGCTCAGAGTCTGGAGCCTGCTTCGGATTCTGTGTCGCCCTGTCTTTC